AATCGACAACAAACTAATCTTATAATAATTTTAAATAAGTACCGATTAAAAACAAACAAAAGTTAATCACTAAACTTCACTCAATTTTCAATGACAATTTTTCATGGTTAACTGATATTTATCAGTCAATTATAATATGTTAAGTTTCTAATGTAAATCATAAGTTCAAATTTTACGCAATCAAAGTAATTAATCTAAACTAGTTCAGTATATACTACTCATAAATATGTATATGTATATATATAAGTAGTATTCTACATTCGGTTAATATTTACATTAACAAATAGATATGTTTATATTACTAGTGAGTAGTTTTCATTTAACCATAAAAAATAACATTCTGTTGACATATTCATCGAAATCAAATGACCTTAATCTTTTAAATGTGAATAGTTTAATTGAGAAATATTAAAGTAAATGATTGATAAGCTTCATTTAATAATAAAAAGGAAGAAATCAAATGAAGTATATTAGAATGGTCATTGTTTTAATCGAATTAATCAAGCTTGAAATTAGATAGTGAGTTTATGAAAGTTTTGTTTATGCATTTTAATGATTCTAGATTTTCAGAGTATTGTATGAAGGTGAAATTTGGAGAACTACCATAACTATCATCAAAATGGTACATGTATTTAGAAACAATTATCTACGTAAGATAATGAATGTCCGTTGGTCGGACCTACTGTGGGAGAGAACAAACCAACTTCCAGCTGAAGAGGAACTTGAGAAAAGTCATTGGAAGTAGATAGGATATACATTGAGGAAATCATAAAACTGCCTCACGAGATAAGTGCTAACTTGAAATGTTGAAGAGAAACAGAAAAAAGGAAGGCCAAGGTACACACTGTGTTGAAAATTCAAAACAAAGAGGAAAAACACCTGAAAAGGAATGTCTAGGACAGGGCGGGATGGATAACGTTAGTGGGCGGCCACTGCTCCTCCACGAGGGGTAAGAAGACGTGATTAGATAAGTAAATGAGTAGATTTTATTGTCGATTCAGACGAAATCATCAATGTCTACTAAATGAGTCAAGTGTAACCAAGTTATATCACCGAACAAATACTCATTCTCACTTGTCATGACGTTGTAAATATCTGTTTAAATGTAAAATCTTAACACAACACAAGGATCTTGATCGATAGAATTAGATCTATGCTAAATATCTAGACAAAAATGACATTCTGTACTATTTTGTAGCCAATCACCGTATATATCTCCGCTCTACAAGAGATGGATTGAAGTTTGAATATATCAGTGACATTATTTCCAACTAAAGTGATAGGTATCTCTGGTTCGAGTCTCATATGGAGCATTAGTTCCCCACAACATTATCAGTACACTTTACTGATAAGTATCAATTGACATGGAACTAAGTTCCGGGACTTGTTGCTGACTACCTTCAGCAATTTTCTATTTTCTATCCCTTTTTCATTACATCAATAACTTAATCTCCACTGGAATGTTATCTAATGGGAAAAATTCAATAAATAAAAAAAATGCCAAACAACATATGTTTTACAGAAATGTATAAATGTAATGAAATCTCGTTGATTATAAACTAACTTACCTAATGTAAATGCAAATCCTTCATGTGGCTGTAAAATTGATTCAGAAAGAAGAAAAAGAGAGGGTCAGAGAGGTTTAACGACGAGAAACAAACATAAATACAATCGAGAACCAAATAAAAATCGACAACAATCTCATTGCTGGTACACCCAGCTGACGAGTCCCAAATAGGACGAAACGCGTGTCAGGGATTCCACTGCTAGGCACAATTCAACTTTGCTTAAAACGTTTGTGACTTAAGGCTATATAGAGGCAATCCGCACAGGATGCACATATGCCAACATGAGACTGATTAATTGCAGTTCTAAATAACAATGGGAAGATACAGATAAAAAGACACCAAGTACATATAAAGTTCACACCATTGCAAAAGCAAGTGACTATCAGTAATCAGTAGCTAATTGGATCAAGCGATGGCGTCTGAAGCAAAATGTACTGGGTTCGAGTCTCCGAGTGAACATCAATTCTGGGATGCAGGTACATCAAGCTGACGATTCCAAAATAGGACGAAACGCGCGTTCTGGATTTCACTGCTAGCCACTAACCAACTTTGCTTAAAAAACCCAATATATTATGTAATGTATGAATTGAAAAGACTATGTATTCAACTAATGTGTAGACATGAAAATTTAATAGATTGGTTACAGATTTTTTCTTCCTTTGATAGTGAAGTATCGGGAATTTTTTTTCATTTAGACGATTATAACTTTTAGTCAGCTCATGTTCTTTAGTATAAAGACTATTTCATGAATAATCGTCTTCATAAATAACAGTTTCTGACAATTCAAGGAATAATAAGAACTCTTCAAATGAAAAGTAAATACCTGTCATCAATTTACTCTATCCCTGGGGTGAGGTTTATGTTAAAACACCAAACACAAACGATCTCTGATCTGTGGACATTTTATGAAACTTTATTTAAAACTGTTGAAAACAGTACGTTAATTGAAGTGGTTCATACTGTTCATATATGCGCCGTCCAGCTTTAATGTAAGATCAAAGTTATGATTGACTCAAGTACCTTCAATGTCGCTACTAGGTTCACTGCTTCTTGAGAACTATTAAAATCCACCTAAAATCAGAATAAAGTGTACGCTGTATCCACATACTTAGATCAGTCAACCTTCTGTGCATGATAAAATTATTACTATCATGCTGATAATAGGTTAATCTGAAAGCATTCTTGTTATGTTTTCTAACCCCTTAGTAGTCAATTTTATACAGAGATTGTTAAAATAAAGAACTTACAGTAGGTTTTACATGGGTTTGTGTTTATCCAAATGTTCATAATTAGTGTTTTCTCGAGAAAAAGTAATTAGTGGTGTTATATCTTAGTAAAGATTAAATTATGAGTAACTTCTGAGAGCGATGAATAGACTAATGTTATATATAGATTCTTATTGTGTAACTGTTGAGTAACTAGACTGTGCATATTTATGTTCCTCTGAACTGAATGATGTTAGACCACAATTGAAAACCTGGAAGCACTGAACGGCCGTTTCGTCCTATTGCGGGACTCCTCAGCAGTGTGCATCCACGATCCTGCTCCTGGGATTCCAACCCAGTGGTCTAGAGCTTAAGTGGTTGCGCGCGAGACCTATAGGTCCTTGATTCGAATCCCTCAGGCGGAATCGTGGATGCACACTACAAAGGAGTCGCATACTTGAAAGAAATGACCGTCCAGTGCTTCCATGTTTTCCATGGTGGTTTAGTTTCAAATGACACATGGTAAAACAGTGCCTATTATTTCATGAATCAGAAAAGAAATGATTCGATCAAGAGTTTTATTTGAACCGAAAGTAAATGAAACAATTTATAGATTCTGAAAGAAATGGTGTTAATTTATCAGATAATCTTGCTTTCAATGAACTCTAACTGTTGTTGTGTTTATCTAGTTTTTCAGAGATGATAGAATTCTGTTGACTAAGTTAGATCATGGTTAGTATATCAAACTTAACATTGTGGCTGTGAAGCTGAATGTAGTGTGTTTAAATCTCAGACGGAACATCAATTCATTCAAGATTATGGATATATCTTTCTATCGACGCTTCTTCTCAATTATCTGTAACTACTTGAAACTAAATTATTTTCGTTGCTTGATGGCAAGAAACTTTACTTTCTGATTGAATTAAGTCCCAAGTAGACGTACCAGTTACATAGCATAAAATGAATGTTAATCAATCGCGTTGTAATGAACGAAGACACAAGTGGGGGAAAACCGATGTATTTTAGTACAAAATTAGAGAATCTCTTGGTAAAATATGAGAATCATACATTCAATACTTCATATGCAATATTCCACCATTTGTTCTTCATATTCTTTATACTTCCACCAAGTCATAATTCCTTTCTATTTCCGTTTTGTTTCTTTCTCAAGTCGACCTTCACAGCCTCCTGTTGTCAGGTTTTCCGCTTCCGCCTAGTGTTACATACTACTTATGTCAACAGACATAAGTGGTATGTATCCCATTTCATGCAAAAAAGCTAGACATTTACTATCATGATCATGATTACTCAATCTGATAGGTGTAAATACGCATATATATCAAAAGTTTATTCAGTTTTTCTTCGTGATCTGTTTACAGATAACTATCAATGATTTTCGAAACAAAAAATCCATCCCCCCACCAAAGAAACCCGGTAAAAATGAATGAAATAAGAACCATGATATGAGAAAAAACTGTAACATCAGTTGTATCTTATTTCTGTTTTCTCGGTTATCATTTATAATACGTCTACTGAAAACTGAATTGCAATTTCATATTATGGTAGAATTTGAGCCATAATACGAGTTTTGTTTAATAATCAAATAGTAGATTAGCGTGATAAGAATTCCATGATTGTATTTACATACATAATGAATGAAAACTTGGTTAAATTAAACAAATCTCACAATACATTTGTAGAATATAAGAACCATACATTGAATATACCATTTGCATATATTATCCCTAAAAAAACTCCATCGTCATTTTATTTTTGTTGATACTTGATCTGGTTCAGTTCTTCTATGTCTCTCTCTCCTCATATTAGTTTTTCTATTAGTAGTAATTCTACATCCGATTCTTGATACATACTAACTATATCTCTCCGTTTAAGTGGCGTACATCACACTTGTTCCCTCTTCAATAAGTTGCACTAGCCATCATTCCACTCATAGTACCACAGAACTTGTCACAGTCTGTGCCTCACTGCTTGTCGAAATGTTAAGCCTTCCGGTGCGCCGACCTCCGTAGATGAACGGTCTGCCTCTCTTCATGGTATGCTTGAAAATAATAATAATGGGATTTTATAGTTTATGCAGACTGACAATAGTTAGACAACTAATGAAGACTTGATAGGAATAATCAGTTGTTTCTTTTCTAAAAGGTTTAGGCTTCTCATAAATGGATATACATGACCAAATTAGGGAACGAACCTAGAACGTTCAGTTCTCTTAGCTGAGCTTATTGATCTAGAAGTTAACAGTAAGGAAAAAAGTTATTTCATCATATGAAATCAATTTAAGACAAAGATAATCTGAATAATGAATCATTCATTTCAGTCAAACAAAAACTAAACAAGACAACTTATATGCAAAGATGGATAGTGGTTAACAGTGGAATCCAGGATGCGCGTTTTGTCCTATTTGGGAATCGCCAGCTGGATGTAGCTAAGTGGATAACGAGATAGTGTTTTAAGCGAACGGTACTGAATTCGAGTCTTAGAGTAGACATCAATTCTGAGATATAGTTATATCCAGCTGATGAGTTCCGAATAGGACGAAACGCACGTCCTGAATCCCACTGGTAACCACTAACCACTATGCTTGTGAATTATGGCTATATCGAGGCAATACGCACGGTATGCACATATGCCAATAAGCTACTGATCAATTGTAGTTCTAAACATCAATGAGAAGATACAAACAAACAATACCAAGTGAATTTACAGAAACTTATATATTGAAATACTGAACAATGGGTAAGGAAGAATTTGAGATAACAACACACTGTTAATGAAGTAGAAAAAAAAGTAATAAATTGAAAACTTAGTCATATTTTGGAATAAACATTAGTTCATTAGGTCAATATTAAGTATTTTCGTGATTTCATATTGATCAACATTAATCACTGAAGCATATTACAAATAGTAATATTAGTAGTAATAGTAATATCAATATTATTATTTAAACACATAATCATTGGTACAAGGAGGCACCAAATACATATGCGCCACATAAATCATTCGATTTGTGTGAGGGCTGGGATACTGCCCCGGTGACCAGACCGAAGCAGGTGGTTTTCTTGGGGGGCCACACTCCGATCCTTAGACCTAAAGGTCTGACGCACGAGGCAATGGAACATCATGAGGAGATGCAGTCCCACGGTATCCGGTGACCAACGATTGGTTCATACGCCATTTGTTCTCAAAGGATAGTGGAGCCCATGTGCACCATTGGTTTGGAACCCGGTTGAAGCGCCGGACATTCGCTTTCCGTCCTCTCAATTTCGTAAACAACACCCTCCTCACGAGAAGGCGTATATATATATTATTGGTAAGAATTGAATTATTAAAACGTTTGCATTTAGAATAGAGTTTTTAGGTAGCCTTTATTAAGGTTTGTGTATAGTGTACGAATTGACTGTGTATTGTCTTTTTATCAAAATTATTTATAGAATAGATGAACTAAGATAAGTAGTAGAATCTAGACCGTACATTCTGCCCCATGTTTGGATCCTAGTATTCATGTTCACATTAAGACTTAAACTGAGTCTCTTAAACTGAAACATCTATTGGGTTATACTCTAATTGTCTGAGTGTAAAAAATGACGTAATTCAAAACTAGATTGTTAGTTCACATGGTATTGTTTACTTGAATCTTCCTATTGATATTTAGGACTACAAATGATCAGTCTCTTATTGGGATATGAGCATTCTGCGCATATTCCCTCGATAAAGCCTTAATTCACAAGCATTATAAGCAAAGACGAATAGTGGCTAGCAGTGGAATTCAGGACGCGCATTTCGTCCCAAGTGGATAACATCA